TAATAATAAAAATAATAATAATAATAATAATAATAAAAATAATAATAATAATAATAATAAATTTAAATACAGCACACAAAAACTCGCCAAAGAACTTCAAGAAATGGTTACTGATCCAACTAAAATTCCTGCATGGATGACCAAAGGAACCTTTCTTCTACCCAAAAATAGTGACACAAATATTCCGAAAAACTATAGACCAATTACATGTCTTCCAACAACATACAAACTGTTAACATCTATTTTAACAAAAACAGACATATTTCTTCTTGAAAGAAATGACATACTACCACTTGAACAAAAAGGGTGCAAACGAGGCTGCTACGGATGTAAAGACCAATTACTTATTAATAGGATGATCCTGGAAAACTGCTTCCGTGGAAAAAAAAAATCTTAGTATTGCCTGGATAGATTATCGTAAAGCATCTGATAGTGTACCACATTCTGGATCTTAAAGTCTTTAAGTATGTACAAAGGTATCACCCGTTATCATCAATTTCATCAAACAATGTATGTCGATATGGAAAACTAAACCTCAATCATAAAATGGAACCTATAAGTCTGGCGAAATAAACATCAATAGAGGAATATTTCAAGGTGACTCTTTGTCTCCTTTATTATTTTGCATATCACTTATAGCATTAACCAGCCAACTTAACAAGACAGAATGCGGTTACAAAATAGCTCAAAAGAAAATAAACCATCTATTTTACATGGATGACTTAAAATTGTATGCTAGGAATGACAATGAGCTGGAAGGTCTTAAAATGCTTCAGTGAAGACATTGAATGAAATTCAATTTGATAAATGTGCTAAAGCTACAGTTTTACGAGGAATTCAACAAACTTCCTCTATTAGTTTAGACCCTGCTGTAACAATAAAGATTTAGAACAAGGAGAAGCTTATAATACCTAGGTGTAAATGAATGAAGGAATTCACCATAAGAAAATGAAAGAAATAGTGCGTAAAAAAGTACTATAGAAGGGTACGATGGTATTAAAAAATCGAATTGAATTCTCAGAACAGAATTATGGCCATTAATAACCTTGCCATCCCAGTGGTCCAATATAGTTTCAACATCTTGAACTGGACTCTAAATGACATCAGACAAATGGATTCTAAAACAAGAAAGCTTCTTTCTATATAAGATGTATCATCCAAAGGCTGAATGCAAAGAAGGTGGAAGAGGTCTTATTCAGCTAGAATTGTCATACAAGACAACAAATTGGCTTACTACATAACAAATGACTGGATGATAAAATTAGTGAAACAACATGAAAACAGAAAGAAAAAATATTCAATAATAAAAAGAAAAAGTAAATACAAACAACATTTACATTTAGTAGATTCTGTAGTAAATCAAAACAAAGCCAAGAACCAACTATTGCAGCAAAAGATAAAAAAAAGCCAAGGATAAAGCCCTTGAACAGATGAAACAACGCTGGCAAGACAAACCCTCTGCATGGCCAATATCCAGAACGTGCAAATAAACCCAATGTTGATAAAGTTAATACTCATCGATGGTTACGAGCATCTGGATTAAAGTCTGAAACTGAAGGCTTTATTCTTGCAGCGCAAGACCAGAGTCTTTTCACTAGGAATTTTCAGGCAAATATCATACATAATAATGTGGATCCAAAATGCAGGTTCACAGACAAATACCAAGAAACAATAGACCATCTAATCTTTTCAGGATGTTCTATACTTGCCCCAAATGAATATAAAATCGTCACGATAGAGTGGGGCAATACTTACACTGACAATGTGCAAACACTTTGGAAAATGTGTAAGCAAACACTGGTATGAACATCGGCCAGCGCCGGTTACAGAAATAGAAGATGTCACCATTCTATGGGATTATACCATCCACACAGACAGAAAAATTGAAGCAAATAGGCCGGACATTATTGTCAAAACCAGAAAGAAAAAACTTGCCTACTAATTGATATGGCTTGTCCAGCGGATTGTAACATAGCAACCAAGGAATTTGAAAAACTATCAAAATACAAAGACCTGGAAATTGAAATAGAAAAAATGTGAAATTGAAAACAAGAATAATACCAGTGGTAATAGGTGCACTTGGAATTATAAAAAATGGAACAAAACAACACATTGAAAGAATCCCTGAAACCCCAGCTTAAGAGACATACAGAAAATTGTCTTATTAAGTACAGCACAAACACTAAGGAGAACTTTGTCTATGTAACGCTAGCAACTTCATCGGAGATAAAAAAAAAAAAATTTAACATGAAACATAATAACACACCACGACCTGCCTTCAGGAGAGACTTGGTAGGTAGTGTGTCCATAGCAGAAATCGAATGATGATGATGATAATAATAATAATAAAAAAAATAATAATAATAATAATAATAATAATAAAAATAAAATAATAATAATAATAATAATAATAAAATAATAATAATAATAATAATAAAAATAATAATAATAATAATAATAATAATAATAATAATAATAAAAATAATAATAATAAAATAATAATAATAATAATAAAAAATAATAATAATAAAATAATAATAATAATAATAATAATAATAATAATAATAATAATAATAATAATAATAATAATAATAAAAATAATAATAATAATAATAATAATAAAAATAATAATAAAATAATAATAATAATAAAAATAAAATAAAAATAATAATAATAATAATAATAAAATAAAAATAATAATAATAATAAAAATAATAATAATAATAATAATAATAATAAAATAATAATAATAATAAAATAATAATAATAATAATAATAATAATAAAAATAAAAATAATAATAATAATAATTTTAATAATAATAATAATAAAAAATAATAATAAAATAATAATAATAAAAATAATAATAATAATAATAATAATAATAATAATAAAAAAATAATAATAAAAATAATAATAATAATAAAAATAAAATAATAATAATAATAATAATAATAATAAATAATAATAATAATAATAATAATAATAATAATAAAATAATAATAATAATAATAATAATAATAATAATAATAAAAAATAATAATAATAATAAAAAATAATAATAAA